TAAAAATGAGAAGGTTTACATTTTTATATTTGATATCTTCTGCCATATCTCCCTTAAAATAAACAACACAGAATGATTTGAAATATGAGTAGGATTAATTGCTGTTCTTTCCTGAATAATAACTCCCCCAGTACTAGTATACAAATGTGTTTTCTTTCCAATCCTGTCTCTTTGGCTGTCTTGCCATGCATCAGAGTTTAGTTTCAGTACCCATGCTCTTAACCACATCAAGGGTTTTGATACTTCCTTTGATATCAAATTTTTCCATCAGTTCTGTTCCCAAATATCTTCAACCACCAGGTGCCAATCTAACCTACTTTTTCAGCAAATTCTCACTAATACCTTCCTCCCAGAATAGATCATATTTTCCCGTTGTTTGTCTTCATAGGTACCTTTCTATTTCTTTATAGCATTTACTATAGCTATAATAAATCTATGTCTTTCTTCCCTACTCGGCAATCAATTTAGGTTATAGGTACCCTTTCCTAAGGGAAGGCAACAGAGGGGCAGGAAAGTGAGTTTACACTTGTGTGTGTCAACTCTTACCCCAGCTTGCCTTTTGTTCTGCTCTGATATCACCCCTGTATTACCTGCAATCCAGGGCTAGGAGGCCTATACCTAAGGCGAATGGGCAGGGAAATACTGACCCACAGCAACTTGAGGGGTACGAAACACTAAGATTTACATTACTGCTCTCCAGTGTCGTCTCTCACCCAAGCCCCAAGCTGCCCCCGGCCCAAGTTGCAGACCTGAGCATCATTCCACATATGTAAGTTGAGGACAGGCTTTCTACATGCAGGTTTTCTCAATTTTTCAGACAGTCTTATTTTTTCAGTTAATTCCAAGAATCCATATTTCCCCCTATATAGTCTCTCCTGGTTATTGGTGGGCAAAGCTAGCTGCTTGTAACTGTTGCCATCTTGGAATTTGCCATCAAGGCCACAAGTAGAGCCCATAGGTAGTCATTAAAACCTCAGGCCTGCTGTCTGTTACTGCAGTGACATACATGGACATCATAAGACAACTACCCTGTTCACACATACTGGCTTGGAAGTGACACTGTCTAAGACCTTGCCTGCCTAAATATGCAGCACAATCATTTCTACTTGCATAGGAATCATTCTGCTGCTCTGAGAGTGCAGGATCCAAGGCAGACTCATCCACCTCATTACACCATACAGTCATTTCTTCTCTGGGATCCAACCATCTTCACAGGAGGCTGCAGAAATGGTGTCTGACCAGTCAGTCTGTGATTCTCTATGTAAGCAGGAAATCCTTGCTGTTCTGCATCACAGTTCCTCTCAAATAGTTTTTCTGTAATAGGGTTCTTTTTGACTTTTTACTTCCAAGCCAGAAACAGATAATTACCTTTGATTTGCGCTGTTACATATCCTGAAGCAAACAGCACAGAAGGGCATAATTCATGAACAGGGTAGGATGGAGGAGGATTTACTCTGAGGGAAAAAAATGCATGCACTTTTAAAGTATTATTCAAATAATTAGTATAATTTCATTATCCAAGCCCAGCTATTGTGATGACAGTTTAAGATTTCATTTATTTTTAAAAGATATCTCAAGACAATCTTGTCAATAAAATGACATTGCCGCACATGGCAGATCTGAGGAGAGGGGCTTCTCTTATATTATGCTTCTTATTTTGCCTCCACACCAGGTCTCCATCAACAGGGGCATCACAAAGCATGAAATATCTGTTCATCGGAGCAAACATGCAAACCCCTAACAGATCGTGGGAAAATAATAGCAATGAAGGTTTATTTATTGAGGATTTACTGAGTTCCGGACTCTCAAGCCCATACTTAATGTACATTACCTAATTTATTCTTTATAACATCATATAAAAATGCCATGGCTAGTCCCATGTTACATGTGAGAAAACTGAGGTGCAAAGAAATCTTCTTCAGGGTCACACAGATAGTCTTAGCATCTGAATTCAAATGCAGCCTTATTGAACTTAAAATGTGAACATTCAAAATGTGAACCTTTAATGAGCATAGACTGAATCCACAGTAGGTGTGCAAATGTTAAAATGTCTGCAATTTATTTTTAAACAATTTTGAATATACAGTGTTGTGTTTGGGATTTATTTGCAGAGTCCAGGGGCTCAGGGGTGATCAGAGACTGTTCTAATCAAGAAGCTGTTCTCCATGAGAGGCCTCTGCAAGCTTTTCTTTTGTGTCTCTTTAGCAACACTTCCCACTTAAAAAATGAGGTTACCAAATGGCAAAACTGGTGAAAACTGTGCCAAATTGGCAAAATAGAATGAATATTTATTGGACTTCTAACAGTTTAATTAAAGGTAGTCAAGGTATGTAATTTTAGAGATATTCTTCAGTCTTACTTGAAAAAATATGTAAAAATGTAGCTAACGGGAATGCTTTAGGTAAAATATTAAATTGTTCTGAGTACAGCTAAAAACCCTGAAAGATGCTGATTGCCTGATCCAAACTGTAGAGATCATCGAATCTTGCCTGAGGAATTGTGAATTTGAGAGAACCTTCCTGTTTACGGCTATGATCAGAGCTTCATAAAGAATAGAGATCTGGGTTTCCTATACGATGAAGGGCACTTAAGAGAGACTGGTTTGTGTATCTAATTGACGAGTAAGGCTTAGTAAATAAATGTCCATAAATGTAGCCAACTTTGTTGTAAGCCATTCAGCCCCAAAAATAACCCTAAGAGTTATACCTGACCAAGTGACTTAGTCCAGTTTTATAGGACGTGAAGACTGAGTATTTCATCCCAAAACAATGCAATTTCAATTATCTGAGTTTTTAATCGTGATTGGGATCAGAGAAGGCTGAGTAATACAGGTATCTGAATATGTGCTATTATTCCTTCTGCAATTCAGAAAAAAAAAAAAAGAAAGAAAAGAAAAACTGACAGGGTAAAGATCCTGTTTAAAAATGAAAAGATGTGTTTCATCTGACCTTGAAGAACATTAACTAGAAAAAAAGAACAAACATCTTTTTTTTTTTTTTTTTTTAGGAAAGTGAAGACCCATTCAAAATAAATGACCCCTGGAGGGTGCGTAAGGAAACGTGGCAGTTTCCAGGACCGTCCATGACCAGCATAAGCCCAGCTGGGAGCCATTTCCAGACTCCTCAGATGTCTGCATCAACACCAAGCAGCAGTTTCTTTACCACGGTACCACTTCCTCTTCCCAATACTGCCCCCCCGCCACCGCTACAATATAATGAAGAAGATTAACAGAACCTTGAAAGCACTTCTCACATTCTCCTACTACATACAACGCTTTATTTAACCAAATTAGTCATTTATTTATCAAGTATGTTTTTTGAGGTTCTATCTAAAATTAAAGTTCTCTTATTATCTTCTCTATTCCATAGCAGGTATAATTAGATGTTTGTTTAATTTTATTTTTCTTTTGGCTTACATTTTTACTTTTCTCTTAGTACACCATGAAAATAATGTCTTAAAATAGAATAAGGTGGGGAAAAAAACAGAGCCAACCTTAACACTATCACTGATTCTTTCTTTCATTTATTATAACTCAAATAATATCATCTTTAAAATTTTATGAAAAGAAGCTACGTAAGCAAAAATAATTAACTTTTAACTATCAGAAACCTCTTTCTATGCCACATTTCAGTACATAGTCTTTCTGATTTTACATCTTTCATTATGTATATACAAAGAGTACTTTCTTCTCTCAGAGTAAATTACATTACACATATTTTTCTATAACTCTGGTTTTTTGTTAATATATCTTGAACTTCTATTCAATCATACAATATAGATTTAAATTATTCTATTGTACCAGAAAAACTGCACGGTTATTCCATACGTTATAAAAATGGTCCTATATTATTTGGCTTAAGGTGGTTTTCAGTATTCTGTGTATTTAATGGACATAATAAGAGCACATGTCTCTTGGGTCTTTTTTTCATTGCCCTCAGAGTGGCTTTATAATTTTTTCCCTAGGTCTTGTGCACCTTGTGTCAGGGCATTGATCTCATGGCTACTGTGAGGTGATATGATACTGATTAACTTCATTGGGAATGGTTTCCTAATGCTATAGAAAATTGGCCACGTTGATGAGTTCATCACAGTTAAAGCCATCACTCACAGGTGGCAGATATCATCTTCCAGGTCAGGTCATATTGAGCACTGCTGGTCCATGGAGGCAGCTGTCCTCCTCCATGTTCCGCTCTCTAGGATTCCCTTGATCCCTTCTTGCCTCCATCCTTCCTCTTCCAGATCAGCAGCCTACCCTCAACTCTTGGGATTGGGTGCACCAGCTCCTTCCTCTCTCCTGCTGTTCCCTGACATCTGCTCTTTCACTTGTACTCATGCTAGGTAGGAGCGAATATCTCATTTCACAATTCACAATCCCAATTAAAGAGAGAGGCGTGACTCAAAGGGCAAGAATTTATTAAAGGAGATAGATGAGAGTGAGAAAAGAATTATTTTGAAAGGAAGAGGGGAAGAGATACGGTGTGTGGGGAGGAGACACTGTGATTGAAGGAAAATATGTAGGATCACCAGCATCTCAACTGGTCTGTCTTTATCTCTTTTTCCTTCAAGGTCATGAAGAGGGAAAACAAGAAAGACGAACTCAGTCCTGATTCATATATGAAAACTTCATCAAACTCCTTCTTCTAAAATCCATTGATAATACTGCTTATGGAGATAAGATCTAAGTGCCTAAAAAATGTACATATACCTGGTTGAAATACAACACTAGATATATGTCGCTATTATATATACCAGCTATTAATTCTTAGAAATGGGGTATTGGGAGTGCTTTTTTTAATTCTTTAGGGTTTTGTATAAAAGGCCATATTTTGCATCTACAACTTTTATAATTTGAAAAAAACAAATAAACGTTATCTTTCTTTGTGAAAGAAATTCTTCCCCGGCAGTCTCTTTAATCCATCCATGAGCTGCTTAAAAGCAAATAGTTTGTGGTCTGCAAATCAGGGTGCGGCACACGGGCCTCAAGCAATATTTGGATTTGTACTTTGGGTGTGATCTTTACAGGATAAGGCCCTAGTCAAGAATGAACAGGCTATGTTCTGCTGAGAGGAACCAGGCTGAAGGGGTAGCTAAGGGTGAAATCCAGCCTGCGGTTTGGTTGCTAAGCATTGTGTTATTGTTTTAGCCCAGAGCAGTAGATATCTTTTCAGAATTGGTTTCCTGGACGGGGCATAATTGGGTAATTTTTCTGCCAAATGAGGTGCCTTCTGGTGCTGTGCATGAAGGCACTTGTCTATGTTAGAGAAATATCTGGGCCTGCCTGATGTGAAATATCTGGTTTTATTCACTTCCTCCAACACCAACGGCTCTTCAGGCGTGTTCTAACCATATTTCCTGTTCTCACAATGCACTATAGTAATCTGACCCATTAGAAAGCTGCCCCAGGAAGAACTGCATTAGGCAAACAGTGAAGAAAATTAATTTTCTTTAGAACAGAATAGCAGAAAGTAGGCATCTAAAACTAAAATTTAGCCAAATTTATTGATTATATATTTGGTACCTGATACTTTGCAATTATTTTGTGGCACTTAATCTTCATATTAGCTCTAGAAGTTTGATCATTTTTTCCCTTTTACTCACCCTATAATATGTGACAAAGAATAGAAAGGCAAAGTCACTTTCGTAATGACACTTAGTAAATTAGAGAGCTTGTTTTAGAACCCAGGCTGCCGTTCTCGTTTGGGGTGTGCATGTTAGGAGATGTGTGTGGGGCTGTGGTGGAAGCTGTGAGGGATGGAATGGGGACGTCTACCACTGTCGCAGGGTTTTTTCTTTAGTTCAGCTAAACATGGGGGTCCTTATCACACAGCCATGAAAAATTAGGCTCGCAGACAATCTGAAGAGTGAGAAGGGCAGAGTTTATTGGGTGAAAAGCAAAAGAGGGAAACAGGAAATTGGGTAAAAAGGAAACTCTGCAAAGCCAGACTCCCTGCTGGTGTGCTTCCGGCCTTGCAGTTTTAATTTCGGGTTCCACCCAGGAAGAGGAGGGGCCAGACCCTTCCCCACTGCAGATGGCGCGAACTTCTGTGGCTCCGACCCAGTGCACGCTCCTCCTGGTGTGCCGGCTGGAGTTTCTCTGACGACCCCTTCCCACCTGGCGGTCTCATTGCCGCCTCTAAAGAAGTGTGCGGCTAACTGCCCTTAGAGTAAGGACAAGGATAAGGACGAAGACCGATCTTAACTGCTTTCTGCTGACAGGGGGCGCTGTGTTGGGGAAAACAGCAGTCAAAGTCTCTCAGAGGCCTATTTAAGGGTTCCCGGCAGAGGGGACCATTGTCTGCCTCTCCAGTTGCATGACTGTTTGGAGTTTGATGGCCTGAAGGCAAGAAGAGACCAATGGTGTTATTAGAAAACATGTATCAAAACGAAACAAGGGGAGGGGTAAGAATAGTTCAAAAATCCCAAGGCCTTTGATCAGTTCGTACAAAGAGAGGGAGGCCAACTGTTTTTTACCAGTTAGGCTTTTTACCAGAAAAGCCTAACTGGTAAAAAACAAAAACAAAAAATCTTTACCCTTTGCCAGCATGTGGGGCTTCTGGGTTCCCTTCTCCTGAACCCAATCCTAAACTGACCAGTTTAAAGTTTGGGAAATGAACTCTTTCCAGTTTGGAGGATGCATCTGAAGGGAGTGTCCCCATAGTATGGAGACACAAGTGCCTATCGGTGAAGAGAGAACTGAGAGGGAAAAAGGAAAAATGAAAGGTGTTTTATCAAAGGAGTCCCACGGGTTCAGGATGCATTTGAAAGGGATACAGACTGAAGATGAATGGCTACTCATCTAGAAGGAGGGGAGCAGGCATCCGTGGTTCTCTTCCTAGCAGATACCTGGGGTATATGAGGGAGAGAAGGAAGAGTGTCCTCTTTCCCTCTTCTAGCTTCACATCCCTGAGTCCCTGTGTAAAATTTTGAGTCTGGCTTCTTTCACTGAGTGTACAATAAAGATCTATCCACGTAGATGTGTGTATCAGTAATTTATTCCTTTTTATTGCTAAGTACAATTCGATTATGTGGATCTACCAAAGTTTATTCATTTTTCAGGTGAGATAATTTTTTACAGCTTTGCATAATTACAAATAAGCTTTCATGAATATTTACATGCAGATTTTTGTGTGAACATACATAATTATTTCAAGTGGATAAAAATACTTAGAGCAAGTTTGCTGTATCATGTAGTAAGCATATGTTTAAATTTATACGAAATTGCCAAACTCTTTTCTAAAGTGACTTTAAGGCTTTTCATTCCCACCAGCAATAAGTAAGGGTTTCAGTTGTTCTGTATCCTCCTCAGGCCATAGCATTGTAGATATATATTAAGTTTTTTAAAATGGACAAACTCTTTTGCATAAAAGTTCTATCATTTGACATTCCCACCAGCAATGCATGACAGTTTCAATTTTTCCAAATCTTTGTCAGCACTTGATTTGGCCAATGTATCTTAATTTTAGCTGTTCTAATAAATGTATAGTGGTACCTCACTGTAGTTTTGGTTTGCATTTCCTTAAAGATGAATTATGTTGAGTGTATTTTTATGTGCTTATTTGACATCCATGTATCATCTTTTTGTCAATTTTAAACATTTCGTTAGTTGTTTTCTAATTATTGGATTTTGAGTGCTCTTTATAAATTCTGGATACAGGGTCTTTTTTTTTTTTTTTTTTTTTTTTTTGACAGAGGCTTACTCTGTCACTCAGGCTGGGGTGCAATGATGCGATCTCAGCTCACTGCATGCAACCTTTGCCTCCCGGGTTCAAGTGATTTTTCTGCCTCAGCCTCCCGAGTTGCTGGGATTACAGGCACCTGCCACCACACCAAACTAATTTTTGTACTGTTAGTAGAGATGAAGTTTCACCATGTTGGCCAGGGTGGTCTTGAACTCCTGACCTCAGGTGACCCACCCACCTCGGCCTCCCAATCCCTCCCTGCTGGGATTATGGGTGTAAGCCACTGTACCCGGCCTGGATGCAGTTTCTTCAGCAGCTATGTGACTAATAAATATTAAGCCCCAGTCTATGGTTTGCCTTTCAATGCTCTTAATGGTACCTTTTGAAAAACAGAAGTTCTTCATTTTGATGAAGTTCAAATTATTAAGCATTTATGTTGTGTAGATTGTGCTTTTGGCATGGTATCTAAAAAATATTTGCTTAAACCAAGGTCACACGGATTTTTCTCCCCTGTTTTCCACTAGAAGTTTTGTGGTTTTAAGTGTTTGTTTATGAAAGCCAGTGATCCATTTGGAGTTTATTTTTGTATAAAGAGTGAGGAATGGCTCAGATTCATTTTTTTAAGCATAAATATCTAATTGTTCTTGCACTTTTTTGAGTCTTTTCTCCATTCAACTGTGTTTGTACTTTTATAGAAAATGAACAGACTGTAAATGTGCAAGCCTAGTTTTGGCTCTCTAGTTTTCCATTGGGCTTTACGTCTTTCTCCAATAACACAAAATTGTCTTATATACCTTTTAAAATATTTCCAAATCGCTGCCCTATGGGACAAAGATATACATCTTTAGTTATGTAGTATCTACTTTTAAATAATACTGCACTGCCTCACATGTTGTACAAGGATCTTCCAACAGTATACTCCTAATTCTTCCCTCTTGTATTTTGTACAATTATTGTCATATAATTTCCTTTTAATTTGTATTTACATATAATACATTGATAAAGTATTTTTGCTTGAAACAAGGGATTGACAAACTAAACAAGACAGTGAGACTGTAATGAATGAGAAACAGACGTTTATTGTAATCATCTGTTGATATTTTGAATTTGTTTATCCAGCAATTATCCTATCCTAACTTGGTGGAGAGGAGCCTGTGAACTGCCACACTCGGGTAACTTGCAATCTGATGGAACAGGCTGTATCACGTATTCTTCCCGGTTGGTTTGAATTGGTCCTTTTCCTTTCTCTATTTTTTTTTTTGGTTCTTAATAACCTGATGGAGAAAAAAACATGCAATCTGAGATGCAATCGACCAGTTACCCCTCCTCTGTTTGTAGTCACTAGGGCCTTCTGAAGTGTACACCATCTTCTCATGAAATTATTTTGTTCCCACCCTTCTAATACATTGATCCATCTTGGATCATATTCCTGAAGTGAATATCTGACCTGAGAAATACACTCTCAGCCTCCACTCTTACAGGGAGAGACAGCAGGCAGTGCACCTGACACAGACCTGGGGAAGAGCACCAAGTAGTGGCAGGAGATGGGTAGGAGGGTGTGGTGGAAGGTCAGAGGTCGGGGTTCACGTGGACTCAACTGCCCTGGACTATGGTAGGTGCAGGCATGGTGGGACTGGCTAGGGAATTGCATTCTTAAAGTATTTCTGGTCTGTCTACTTTAAAAGACATTTGAAAAAGTCAGAATGACTTTTCCAACTCTAGGCAAGCTCTCTGCTTTAAACTTTTAGTGTTACTGAGGAGCTCTTTTGTTGGGCTCTGTGTGCACAACAGTATGTGTCTCTGTCTCGAAAAGCCCATGTTCTCTTAACTGTGTATCTAGAATACGTGTCCCCTAAGAGGGAGGTTCCTCAGTTCTGTGAGATGCTCGTGTAGTAAATATCAATGTCTTCTATTCCAGTGGCTCCAGTCCAGCTTTCTGATAGAAAACATAAAATATCATCCCCTTGGAGAGTTGACTTTGCTCCATGCAGTTCCCACCTTTATGGTGCTATGGACTCCAGATGTCAGCTGTAGTTTTTCTCCATTTTTTGACAGCGTGAAGAACGTAAGTCGAAGCTTATCTCCTTCCTCACATTTTATTGTGTCCTGGTTTCCAGCCACCAATACTTCCATATTCCCAGTGTTGTCCCTTAGGTTTAATATACCTTTCTTCTTTTCTGTTACCTGCAGAAGAAAAACAACACCCAACCTCTGATAATCTGATTAAAGAATGTCACATCAGTCACACATCAGACATGCCAGAAGAAGGATCCAAAAAGAAATACAGTTGATCCTTGAACAACACAGGTTTTAGCTGCGTAGATCCATTTATATGGAAATTTTCTTCTGTCTCTGCCACCCAAGACAGCAAGACCAACCCCTCCTCTTCCTCCTTCCTCCTCAGCCTACTTAACATAAAGTCAATGAGGATGAAGACCTTTATGATATTCTACTTAATGAATAGTCAATATATTTTCTCTTTTTTATACTTAATAACATTTTTTTCTCTAGCTTACTTGTTAAGAATATAGTACATACTATAAGTAACAAAAAATATGTGTTGACTGTTTATGTTATCTGTAAGGCTTCTGGTCAAGAATAGGCTATCAGTAATTAAGTTTTTGGGGAGTCGAAAACTATATGCAGATTTTCAGCTGCTAGGGCTCAGCAGCCCTAATTCCTACATTGTTCAAGGGTCAACTTGAAGAAAAAGATTCTGCTTTGAAACTAGCAGGTATAAATCTAATAGATGTTAGCAGGTTCACATAGAGGAGGCAGATGTGCCTTACTTAGAACATGTCTCCTATGTCCATCCTTCTGGTCCCAAGTTCCTTCCTTTAGGAAGAGCCTGGGATGGCGCATAGCAGCAACAACTGCTGGATAGAGAAGATGGAGATTCTCCAGGGCCAGTAGCCAGGTTAATCAGGGAAAAGAAAGAAGACCCTAAGGTTGGAAGAAAGCTGTTTATTTATTTATTTTTTATTTTTTGAGATGGAATTGTGTTCTTTCACCCAGGTTGGAGTGCAGTGGTGCGATCTTGGCGCACTGCAACCTTCATCCCCCGGGCTTAAGCGATTCTTCTGCCTCAGCCTCCCAAGTAGCTGCCACTGTGTCTGGCTAATTTTTCTATTTTCACTAGAGACAGAGTTTCACTATATTGGCCAGGCCGATCTTGAGCTCCTAACCTCAGATGATCCACCTGCCTCAGCTTCCCAAAGTGCTAGGATTACAGGGATGAGCCACCCTGAAGAGAGCAATTTAAAACAACAAGTCCAGGAAAGACATGAGGTAATGATGCAAGACCCAGTCGGGAGTCTAGTAAGTAGTCAAAGACAAGAAGTAATTCACAATCAAGTCTAAGAGCAAAAGGGAACAGAATGTTAGTTATTTAGGAGATTGATAGTATTTTAGGTTTAATTTTATGGATGAAATCAATATATATTGGTGGATAGCTGGCCAGATTGAAAGCTGAAAACTGGGATAAAGAACATGACCTTGCTATCCAAGGTCATTTTACACTTGTATTTTCCAAGAGGATTGGAGAGTCTTCCTATAAATTCCTTCTGAAACTAACCCAGGGCAGCAGAGGTTGCTCTGAGGCTCTGAATGTAGGGTCAGCAGGTTCCCTCTCTGTGGTTCTTTAGGTTCTGTCCTAGATCAGAAAAAGTCATCCCACAAGGCTATTTCCCTGAGGCTCAGAGTCATGATACTTTAAATTTCTCACTTCTAATAAGTCTTCTCAAGCTAACTCTTTCTTCTGTTTTCTTCATTTAATCACAGTTCTTTAATCCTGCCTTACATATTGGTTTTTCAGGTCGATTAATCTGGTTTGTTACTCAACTACACTTATATCGCATTCATAACAGTCACTTAAAGATGATATGTACAAAGTATAAAAATAACACACATTGGGAGGCTGAGGTGGGCAGATCACCTGAGGTCAGGAGTTCAAGGCCGGCTTGACCAACATGGTGAAACCCTGTCTCTTTAAAAAAAATAAATAAATAACACAGAGATAAAAATTATGTGAATGAACTAGTTCCTTTTTTCAGAGGCTACTGGGATAAGAATAAGTTGAAACAGATTTTTGACAATAAAAACCATTTTTGAGTTTTTGTATGAATTTTGGCATGTTAACTCTGCAGCTCTTTAGAACTTTGTATTTTTTTGTCTATATAGAAAGATATTAAAACCATTTCTAAAGTCGCCGTAAGATCAGATGAGAAATATTATTACTAATCAACATGAAATTAGATATGAAAACATACCTTCTGGACTACAAACAACCCATTCACAATTGTTCCAAGGGGCTGAGTTTGAAGCGTGCTGATCTTTGGAGTTTCCCCAGCTTTTCTGATGATGTTTGGTGGGACATTGACCTTTTGGTCAGATTCAGCATCTAACACACGTGAGGCACTAGTTACTTCTAAGAAGCCACTGTGCCGATAATATCTCGATATTATAATTATTCTCTTTGGAATGAATTTATCTTTTAGCAGTGTATTAAAAACTTTTACAAAGAAGAATTCCTTCTCTGTAGCCACTGTAGCATGAAACATCTCTTGCTTGCCTTCTTGGGTCTCAAACGTGAAGGGCTTCGTTGCTTTCAGTACCATAACTGGCAAACGGTCTTTCTGAAACCCTTCTCTGATAGATTCCTGCTGGATCACCATCTGTTTCTGCTCAGGCTGAAGACAAGAGAAGAAAGGTATCAGCTGTGAGTCTAAAAGGTACTATTGAGAGGACCTTCACTCACAGTGCTAAACCTCAGGAAGCCAGCTGAAGATAGGTAGAATCAAGGGAAGCGATATAGAGGGGTCAGGAAGAGATCCGGGGCCTAGAACGACCTGGATACAACGGAGAGTGCGGACGGAAGATTTCAGCTCCTGTGTTCAGCTAAGACGGTGTAACAGGTTTTGGAGGTAGGATTCCCTGAAACAAATTCTTGCTTTGCCAATTGCTATATATAAAGAGCTCATCAGATCTCTGAAATATTGCTAAGGCATGGGGTAAATCTGATAATCGGAATCCATCTTCTATCAATTCCATTAGGGCATAATGCGTCCTTGTTTCTCTGTTCAAAATGTTCATTTTATTCTGCTATAAAAGTGAGGGAGCTCAGTGACCTGCACAGGACTCCCCAAATTCCTAGGAAGCCGCTGTACGTAAAAAAATGCAGATTATATTTAATATAAGTTAAGGTGGGGAGACCTAGGCCAGAGGTCTTACCAGTGAGTTAAAGGAGAAATTTAAAAGGAGAATCAATACCACGTGTATGGATTTACCCTTAGAAATAATGAATTATAAACTAAGGTTTACATTTAAAAAATACATCTTATTATTTGAAATTATAAAAAAACAATTTAAATACCTAAAAAATAGATTTGGTTAAATAAGATATGGTATAGTCACATATAGATTGCTATGCAAATATTAAAAATGCTTTAGAGAAATAATATGATAAACTTATAACTGATTCAATAAAGGAAAAGGCCCTAAAAAGATAAAGGATAAGTAAGCAGTTAAAGCACATAAACAAACACACTGGAGAGATATTTACCAACATCAATATAGTTTTTTCCTAGATGATACAATTATAGGTAATTTTATTTTCTTCTCTGTGTTTTGTTTTATTTTTCTGAATTAACAGAGATAAGATACCTTGTTTTGGTTTGTTTTGGGGGAAAATCCTACTTTTTAAAAGCAACTTGCCATCTAGAACCAGAGGGAAATATAGGGGAAAACAAACAGAGGCCTAAAAAGCCAAGTGTAGGAGTTTCTGAAGGGTGTCTCTGAGGTGACCTGAAGCTTGGGCCAGTGGAGCTAGGGTGAGTAAGGCAGGGAATGGTCAGCTTCACTGAGGTCCACTACAAAAGTCCTTCTGTTTGGTTCATGTATCTTTAGCTGGGTCTTGCAGACTAAATAATGCATATTTTCATTACTGATGACGGAATCACAGCATTTATACTTGTTTTCCTGAAAAATCGAGATGTTTCTGGGCCAGACGCAGAGGAAATGGCTACTCTAGACAAAGAGATGAAGTACATAGTTTCTGTAGCTCATACAGCTGTAAAATGAAGTAATACCTGCTTCATAGGAAATGAAATTGCTTGTGTGGTTGATTCTGTGCTGAGACTCGGATGTTGCCTGCTGCTCTCTCATTCTCACCAAGAACAAGACTCTCTAGGCACTACTCTGTCACCTAAATGGGGCCGCCTCACCTTGTCCATGCAGCTGTATTGAGGACTTTTTTACATTACTTTTAAAAAGCAATTTGTTGTCAAAAACCAAGGGGAAATACAGGGGAAACAAACAGAGGCATGGCAGGCAGAGTGTAAGAGTCTCTGAATTGGATCTCTGATGTGACCCGGAACCTGGGCCTGTGCAAACCACAGACTCCCCCAAATCATGGGAGCCATGAAAGGCATCCTCAGCTCCCGAGCTCCGGGTCAGATAGGCCAAGGCCTCTACTGCAAATAGATTGTTCTCGACATTCTTCCTCTTCTACTCCTTTCACTTCCTCACAGATATTAATTCTGAAAGTGACCTAGAATAGACTTCCTGTAGACAACTGTCTGTCTCAGAGTTTTCTTCTTAACACCATAACTGAGTGTTAATGTGTCCAGGGCCTGGCAGAGATTAGAAGCTCAACAGGTGTTTAATCTGATAAATCAGAGGTAGTTCTTCTTTTTGTGACTAGGATCACTTTTCATACTGTGGCCTTGCTTCCCTTATTTGCATGCTGTGAGATAAAGAACAGAGGACCATGTGGGAAATGACAGTGACAGTGACTAGAGACGCTCTTACAAGGACAAAGGCCACTCCACTCGCCTCCTCCTACCTGAATATGGGCAGAGACTTTTGGTGCAGCACGTTGCTTTGTGACATCATTTCTGATGGCTGCGGATGCAGCAGGACTCATTTCAGCTTGACTTAGTGGCTTTGGTTTTGTTACCGATTTGTATTTCTTATCAACTGATTAAAAAACAAAAGACATGGCCAATAAGCATATACACATATGAGCAGTGCACATTTTCAAATGTCACCAGAAATAAATATTAAAACCATATTAAGATATCTTCAAGAACAGCTAACTTTTCTAAAAAAAAATAAATCTTATTTTAAAAATAAAGAAACAACATGACATAGACACCTGTAATCTCAGCACGTTGGGAGGCCAAGGCTGGAGGATAGCTTGAGGCCAGGAGTTTGAGACCAGCTTGGTCAACATAGGGAGACCCCATATTTACAGAAAATGTTTTCAAAATTAGCCAGGTGCGATGGCACATGTCTTTAGTCGCAGCTACTTGGGAGGCTGAGGCAGGAGGATAACTTGAGCCCAGGAGTTCAAGGCTGCAGCGAGCTGTGATTGCGCCACTGCACTCCAGCTTGGATGACATAGTGAGACCCTGTCTGTCTAAAAAAAATAAAATAAAAAAATAAAGAAACAAAAGAAACTACGAAGCAGTAGGCTTAAATTGTATAACACATTGGAAGATGGTTTGGGACACTATTAAAATTCAGTATCTACTTACCTTAACATCCAGTAATTCCATTCACAGGTGTACAGTCAAGAGAAACACACACAAAAATACATACATACAAAGATAAGTACATAATGCTTATAATGTGCATAAATATTCATAGCAGCATTATTCATAATGGCCTCAAATGACTAAAATAACAATCAAAAATAGACCAATTCTCTCTATATATATGTATTTGAGTTTATGTGTATATGTAATTATAAGTTAAATGAAATCTCATATAGTAGCGAAAATGAATAAACTGCCGCTATGAAACAAAGGCAGATTTCTAATTATGTTCTACAAGGCTTTGCACTGCTGTGTCAAGGGGACCGCATCCTGCCCTCTGAAGATTCTCTGTACTCCAGCCATACTGGCCTTCTATCAGTCCTCAGGCAGGTCAACACTCGCTTATGGGGATTTTCACCCAGTGTTGCCTCTGACTGAAGGTACCTTTAACTGCTATGGATTTTTCAGAGCTTAGCTCAAGGGTCACTTCCCTGCGGAACCTGCTTTTGACCAACACCCACTCTAACTCCTGGCTTATGTTAATACTTCTTTGACACATACTGCTAAAGGACCATCTTCCTTTCCATCAGGGCATTTTTCTCAGTTCATTGCATGCATTCATTTGCTTTGTAAGAAAAATGTCTACCTTCCCTTTAGAGTAAAAGCTGTACAAAATCTGGATTTGTTTTTAACTCCTTGTTTTCTCATAAGGACCTAAAAGTATTCCTTGCACCTATTAGCAATTCAATAGATGTTTACTGAATGGATGAAGAAATGGGTGGATGGGTGGCATGTTGGTTCCTCACTAATGCCTACAAAATGCAGTTGTATAATCTGGCTGGGCTCCTCCAGGTCTATGGTCAGGTTATATGTTATTTTGAAAGCCAATTCCTAGTCGTGATTTTTAAAAAGACCATGTAATAAGATGGCCATGTTTGGTGACTTAAGGCACTCTCGGGCAGAAGAGGGACGGAAAAATTCTCAGATGTCATTTGTGATAGAATTTGAGCAATTCTGGGCTGAAATAACAAGGTAATCACTTTGACTGTAGTAAAAAGAGAAACGATTTCATTATTAGAGCTAAGAGTAGAATGAACTGTCTTATGAGGTCGTAGGTACTCTGTCAGTACCTTTCAAAGAGCAGAAAGTGGTTGACTGACTGGGATTTTGTAGCAGGATCTCTGCTCTAGAAAGAAGTTAAACTAACCTTCCAATGGTAGGTAAGTTCCATGAAACTGGTTTCAGAAAGGTATGCAGATAAAGTCTGCCTTCTTTGTTGACAGCATACGAGAGAAAACAGAGTCACGGGAGGTCAAGGGAATCCACCTACCATTCTGTCGCATCACATCAGCCATATTTCATCTCGCACACAGTGGTACCAAAGCAATATTTGTGAATAAGCTTGTCTGCTCACTATAAATCTCTCATTTGCCTTAATAATCAGGGTGCACATTGTTATTTATTATTTCATGTATCATTTTGAGCATTTTATTTTAATCTTACAGGACTTTTGTAGACTTTGATCATATTTTCTCTTAGCTTCCTTTCTCTAGGCTTACCTGTCCTTATATTTTCTCATTTTGCTTCCTACAAAAGCTTCTCTTGTCTACTGATTATTGCCTCTGTCTTCATTAAAGATTCTCCAGGTATCTTCTACCTTCTATGAGGTGAGGTCGTGAGTAGAATAGCATATAGCACTCTACATGCAGACATGCAATGGCTATGGAGAGGGATCACTTAACCAAGAATAAAAGATTAACTGTTCAAAAAACAAAACAAATTGTTTTCCTATAATAATAGAAGTAGCATAGACACACAAAAATTTCCTACATTCAAAGGAGGCCTAAGAATGTCTGTGGATGGAATTTTAGCTATGACGGAACTTAATTGCCTTCTTGTAAAGCATACAAGAAGCATACTTTGTGTTTTGTGGTTGTTTGAGACAGGATGTCACTGCTGTTGCCCAGGCAGGAGTGCAGAGGCGTGATCTCAGCTCACTGCAACCTCCGCGTCCCAGGTTCAAGTGATTCTCCTGCCTCAGCCTCCCGAGTAGCTGGGATTACAAACGCCTGCCACCACTCCTGGCTACGTTTTGTATTTTTATTAGAGATGAAGTTTCACCATGTTGGCCAGGCTGGTTTTGAACTCCTGACCTCAAGTGATCTGCCCACCTCAGCCTCCCAAACTGCTGGGATTACAGGCGTGAGCCACTCGTGCCTGTCCAAAAAGCATACTTTGAATCCTGCAACTGTTACATGTGAAGACTCATTTGGGAGAGTCCTTGGATGATCTACTCCTGAGTTTCCAAGCTAGTCCCAATTGGATCTTTTTTTATCTAATCAGAATAACAAAATCCCAGAATCATTAGAACAACAAAATGGCAGGAAGATTTTAGAAGGTGAAACTTTGTGCTATCCTGGTCAAAGAGAAGAATTAATTCTTGATTTAATGCCAAAATAAAAGATATTTCTAAATTTCTCAGCCTATGTTTGCCAATATGCCTAGATTCTTGTCTCATCCCAGACAAGAAAAAGAGCAGTTGGTTACTTCAAAGTACCACGTGTAGTTACTGCCATCTAGGGGCCATCTCTGAGAACTACACCTTCTAACTCCCTATAGCCTGGGAAAATACAATGTGTAACACTTTCTCTTCCGTGCCTTAGATACTACCTAACAGTTTATATCTGTATAGAATTATGAACATACATAGTATCACTTACATGGCTTCATTTAGCCTTCCTATAAGTCATGTTTGAGAAGTGATGTCATCCGTGTTATACACTCACAAATGCTATTAAAGCTGTTGTAATTTTTGCTGTTACAGTTGTACTTTTTTTTTTTGAGACAAGAGTTTCGTTCTTGTTACCCAGGCTGGAGTGCAGTGGCGCGATCTCGGCTCACCACAACCTCCACCTCCTGGGTTCAAGCAATTCTCCTGCCTCAGCCTCGCAAGCAACTGGGACTACGCCGCCATGCCCAGCTAATTTCTGTATTTTTAGTAGAGACGAGGTTTCACCATGTTGGCCAGGATGGTCTCGACCTCTTGACCTTGTGATCCACCCGCCTCGGCCTCCCAAAGTGCTGGGATTATAGGCGTGAGCCACCGTGCCCGGCCTACAGTTGTACTTTGAATCCTAAAACTGTGGCATTTGGAGAGACTCACTGGGGAGAGTCCTTGGATGATATGCTCTTTGGTTAGCTCTCTTTTGTTCTTCAGACATAAAGCCGGTACATATCAATTTTCTTATGAAACAAAATCAGAAATTTAAACGAGATTTAAACTAAATGTAGATGGAGACAATGAGTGATTTATTGAATAATGTAAAAAAACCTTTGTGTTGTGGGTAATTTATAGTGCCACCTGTACTGGAGATAGAGAGGAGAGAGAATCCCCTAATAGAAGGAGGAGATTGTCCCCTGAAGAAGGATAGTCTGGGACCTCAGAAAGCTGGGGACAGGAGAGGAATAGACAGACTATGTGAAGGAGAAAAGGTGCTCAATATCCTGGTTTACACTTTTCCAATGCAATAATTTATTTATATTTTCAAGACTTCAGTAAAATGTGAGCACATTATATACTGTGTAAATGGAGTTGGGGGATGTTAACTTTGAAATCCTACATCCAAGTTCACTACAGTTGAACTAGAGACAAAGATAGGCAAAGAGAAAAGATGATAAATGGAAATGGTAACCCTAAGGGCTGGAACAAGAGATGCCAACAGAAGATGGAATGGATTTGTGGAATTTGTAACAAGCACTTCCTAGAAGTGATTCTCAGTAAAAGGAGGCAAAGAGACAAATGCACTACGTTAGCAAACAAATTCCAACAAACATGCACTGGGGGCCATGTCCCAGGGATGCCGTAAAAGGAAAGACCCAGGCTTGGCAAAGAAAGGGACTGGGCAGCGCAGGAGTCCCACTTTACCTTTCTCCTTCTCTTCTTGAAGACGTTCTGCCAAAAGCATGTAATTCAACTTCTGAAAAATATGAATGGTCTTCGTCACTGCAGACACCACACCAGCATTTTGAATCATCAAGTTAGCTAGTTGTGGTCTATTTGCAGTATGTAGTTTGCCTGTAGCAATATTAAACTCATCTGGAAGAAAGAACTTAAACCTATCCAGTTCTTCATCGGTGATGTTCTCCAGGCCCGTTAGCAGGAGTATCTCCTTATATTTACTCTCCATCTAAGAACTTCAGGATCCACCTGTATGGATTCCAAAACATAGAAGATTACACCACCAAAAGTGATTCTACGTTCAGAATAAAGCAAGGTGAGCTGTTACTATTTTTTAAAGAAAAATAAACAAAATGTTTACAGTAGTAAAAGAGGTTTGGGTGGAACATAGGTAAGAACTTCTTAAGCAAGGTGGTCACTATTCTCAGGAAAGACATTTTCAGAAAGTATATAACACCTCTGGAATTCTTAGAAAACAAGATGTATCAGCTGGGCACAGTAGCTCATGCCTGTAATCCCAGAACTTTGAGATGGGCAGATCACCTGAGGTCAGGAGTTTGAGACCAGCCTGGCCAATATGGCAAAACCGCATCTCTACTATAAATACAAAAATTAGCCGGGTGTGGTGGCGGACACCTGTAATCCCAACTACTCTGGAGGCTGAGGCAGGAAAGTCGCTTGAACCCAGGAGGCGGAGGTTGTTATGAGCCAAGATTGCACCATTGCACTCCAGCTTGGGCAGTAAGAGTGAAACTCCATCTCAAAAAAAAAAAAAAAAAAAAAAAAAAAAAAAGAAAACAATACATTTTCCTGTTTTTTTAAAAACGGATTTATCGAGGCATAACTGACATACAACACAGTGCATATATTGGAAGTACACACTTTGATAAATTTTGGCATATACATATACCTGATCAAGTGCAATTAACCAATTTTTTCTTTCATGGATTGTGCTTTCAGTGTCATATTTAAGAAATCTTTTCCAATGTCAAGATTAGAAGATTTTACATTCTCTAAAAATTTTATGGTTTGATATTTTACATTTGGGTGTGTGTACTGTTTTGAGTTATTTTGTATATGTAGTGAGGGATGATTCAAAGTTCATTTATTTTTTTGTATGAATATAAATTTTCCCAGAACCATATGTTAAAAAGACTGTTCTTTCTTTAAAGCCTTTTTTTTTTTTTTTTTTTTTTGGATCTTTGTAAAAATCAGTTGTCCAAATATGAGTGGGTCTATTTCTGGATTCTTTGTTCTGCCATTGATCTATTTTTATATCTTCTTGCCAGAATCATGTTGTAGTAATATGATTGTTTATGTATAGTATCCAAAATAATAAAACATTATAAATAATGATTCAACAATGTTTCTAACTGTAAGATTAATACGCAGAAATACATTCCTTTATTCTAGCACCACTCCAAGAGAGAAAAATATTACATAAAAAAGTAATTTCCAATAGCAAGAAAACGACAAAGCACATAGAACATCTAATACAATATATTTAAGAGTTTTAAAGGGAAGCTTATAAAACTTTATCGAGAGATTTAAAAGACCTAATTAAGTGGGTATATGTGATATTTTAAATGGGAAGATTTGATAAAATGAAGAGAGCAATATTGTCGAATTCATCTATAAACTCCCATGCAAAATCTCAAAGGGATTTTCATAGAAGTTATCAGGATAATCCCAAAACCTAAATGAAAAAATTAAAGACAAAAACGTGCAAAACAAGTTAAATATGTTTTTTAGGATGTACTATCCCTACTACTAGATATCAATACGTACTACACACGTATAATAATTAAATCAGTATGGTAGTGGCACAGAGAAAAATCAACTAATAGAGTGTGGAAATAGAACTACATGTAAATTAAAACATGGTATATAATGAAAGTGGCATTAAAAATCACAAGGACAACTATAAAAAGAGTTCAGGCAAATGACAATATATGGGTGATGATATCCTGAGTCTTTATCTTACATCATACACAAAATATATATCTGGCTGGATTAATTATCTATATAGACTAGTAATGGTATTGAATAAAACACAGAATTTCTCCATACATTGAAGTAGAAGGAGGTTTTTAAAATTTTTTTCTTATACTTTACGTGCAGGTTTGTTACATAGTTATACATGTGCCATGATGGTTTGCTGTACGCCATCAACCCGTCATCTACATTAGGTATTTCTCCTAATGCTCTCCCTCCCCTAGCCCCCCACCCCCTGACAGACCCCAGTGTGTGATGTTGCCCTCCTTGTGTCCCTGTGTTCTCATTGTTCAGCTCCCAATTATGAGTGAGAACATGCGGTGTTTGGTTTTCTGTTCTTGTGTCAGTTTGCTGAGAGTGATGGTTTCCAGCTCCATCCATGTCCCTGCAGTACATGAACTCATTCCTTTTTATGGCTGCATAGTATTCCATGGTATACATGTGCCACATTTTCTTTATCCAGTCTATCGTTGATGGGCATTTGGGTTGGTTCCAAGTCTTTGCTATGGTGAATAGTGCTGCAATAAATATACATGTGCATGTATCTTTATAGGAGAATGATTTATAAACCTTTGAGTATATACCCAGAAATGGGATTGCTGGGTCAAATGGGATTTCTGGTTCTGGATCCTTGAGGAATCGCCCACTGTGCTCCACAGGATTGAACTAGTTTACATTCCCACCAAAGGTGTAAAAGCATTCCTATTTCTCCACATCCCCTCCAGCATCTGTTGTTTCCTGACTTTTTAATGATCGCCATTCTAACTGGCATGAGCTGTTATCTCATTGTGGTTTTGCTTTGTATTTCTCTAATGACCAGTGATGATGAGCTTTTTCTCATGTTTGTTGGCTGCATAAATGTCTTCTTTTCAGAAGTGGCTGTTCATATCCTTCACCCACTTATTGATGGGGTTGTTCTTAAATAAGACATAAAAAGGACAAGCCAGGAAAAAAAAAAAAAAAAAAAAAAAACCAAAAAAAAACCTTTGTCAAATTTGGTTGCATGCATATTCTCAATTTCTTTCGTTCTTTTTTTTTTTTTTTTTCTTTTTAAAGACGGGGGTTTCACCATGTTGGTCAGGCTGGTCTGGAACTCCTGACCTCAGGTGATTCACCCGCCTTGGCCTCCAAAGTGCTTGGATTACGGGCGTGAGCCACCACGCCTGGCCATTCTCAATTTCTTTGTAGGAAACATACATATGCGTGCACCCCCCACACACACACACACACAGACACATACACACCCCAAACAAAATGGTGGAAGAAATAAGCCAAAGAACAAAGGAAGATGTTTAGAGCTGAAAATAACTGATTGTGAATTTTAGGGAAGTTGAATACTCTCATCGGTAGAGTCAACATTAATAAATTCCACACTATCACTGTTGATGGCCTTATATTTTTTTTCCTATATGCTGGTAAGGGCTCGAGAAACTCTACTTACACATGTAGAGTTCATGAGTGAAAATTAAAACTATTATCAGGACCATTTTCAAAATAAGGAATACATTTAAAAAATTTGTACTAATAATGCCATCCAGATGCCCTCACTCTACTGATGAAAGCAAGGAAGGACACTACCTTTGTTGAATATCTAATGTGATGATCAGCTTGGCATGATTCCTGTTTTCCTACTTGTCCATAAGAAACTAACCTTCCTATAACCCTCTTATCTAATAACAATCACATTTTAATCACATTTTATATAAGATTGACTTAGCTTTTTCTCTGAAGTTATGTTGTCTTATAAATGAAAAACTTGCATTTTACTTCATAATATCTGTTAACTTAAAAAATGCTTGTATTTGTTATAGGGTAAAATGTACTTATTTCCTTTTCGATTTTCATTTTAGGTTAGATGCAGGTTTCTTATATAGGTAAACTCATGTCACAGGGGTTTGGTGTACAGATTACTCACCCAGGTAATAAGCATAGAACCCAATAAGTATTTTTGTCTCATCCTCTCCCTCCTCCCACCCTCTACTTCCAAGTAGGTACCAGTGTGTGTTGTTCTACTTATTGTGTCTGTGAGTTCTTGTTATTTAGCTCCCGCTTATTGAGAACCAAAGTGGTATTTGGTTTTCTGATCTTTGTTAGTTTGCTAAGGATAATGGTCTCCAGCTGTATCCATGTAGCTGCAAAGGATATGATCTTGTCTTTTTATGGCTGCGCAGTATTCCAAGGTGTATATGTGCCACACTTCCTTTATCTAGTCTACCGTTGATGGGCATTTAGGTTAATTTCATGTCTTTGCTATTGTAAATACTGCTGCAATGAACATATGCATGTATGTGTCTTTATGGCAGAGTGATTTATATTTCTTTGGGTATGTATCCAATAATGAGATTGCTGGGCTGAATGATAATTCTGTTTTTAGTTCTTTGAGGAATCATTACACTGCCTTCTATAATGGCTGCACTAATTTACACTCCCACCAGCAGGGTATAAGCGTTCCCTTCTCACCCAACCTTGCTAGTCTCTGGTATTTTTTAATAATAGCCATTTGATAGGCATGAGATGATATAATATCTCACTGTGATTTTAATTTGCATTTCTCTAATGATTAGTGATGTTGAACACTTTTTCAAATGCTTGTTGCCTGCATGTATGTCTTCTTTTTAAAAGTGTCTGTTCATATTCTTTGCCCATTTTTTAATGGGGTTGTTTTTTGCTTTAAAATTTGTTTAACTTCCTTAAGATTCTGGATATTAGACTTTTGTCAGAAGCATGGTTGGCAAATATTTTCTCCCATTCTGTAGTTTGTTAATAGTTATTACTCTGTGAATAGTTTTTAATATTTAAAAATAATAAATATTACTCTGTTAATAGTTTCTATTTCTGTGCAGAAGCTCTTAAGTTTAATTACATCCCATTTGCCAATTTTTGTTTTTGTTGCAATTGCTTTTGGTGTCATCATAAAATCTTGGCCAGTTTCTATGTGCATAATGGTATTGCGTAGGTTATCTCCCAATATTTTTATAGTTTTGGGTTTTACATTTAAGTCTTTAATTCATCTTGCGTTGATTTTTGTAGATGGTGTATGGTAAGGGTCTAGTTTCAACCTTCTGCATATGGCTAGTCAGTTATCTCAGCACCATTTATTGAATAGGGAATCTTTTCTTCATTGTTCGCTTTTGTCAAAGATCAGATGGTTGTAGATGTGCAGCCTTATTTCTGGGCTCTCTAATCTGTTCCACTGATTGTTATAGGGTGAAATTTATATACAAAGAAAATAAATGCAGATCTATCTGGTAGAT